TGGCCTGATTTTGTCAGTGAAGGTGTGAGCTTCGTGTTTCTGAGGATGAACCACCACCCCTCCTTGTGTGCCCCTCCCCAAGCTTGCTGTCAGTTCTGTCTCTAGTTCTGGAGGAAATGGCAGTGCACAGGGTGACAGCTGAGGTGTGCTGCTGAGGGGTATGTGATATATGTTAACTGTGAGAGTGCTGGTCAGAACAACTGCTCCCTTCCACCATCTCCACCACAAACATACCTTCCTCAAGCATTGAAAGTAGTAGTTTGTTTTTTTTTCCCCCAAAGTCTGGAGACCTAGTAGTTAAATCCTGAGAAGAAGTAATTACCATCAGAGTTCTTCATAGCCCTACACGTATTCACACTCCCATAGAGTCTGTTATAAGATGTGATCTCCAACCCATCCTGTCTCCCCCAGCTGGTGGTGGGAGAAGAGGAGGTGGGTGTTGAGTAGAAACCTGTATGATGCTCAGGAAGGGAAGAGGAAGACCCTTCAAATCTCCAAGACACCCTCCTTAGGACTTGGAGTAGCTACTGCTGAGACCCAAACATTTTGGATCTTAGGTCCAGTTAATTACTAGTTGGTTCCAAAATTCCTTTCCCATAATATTTCCCTTTCTTTGTCTGGTTTTGTTTACATTCTCTTTTCCAATTCTACCTCCCCAATGTTGAATCTTCTGGACCTACAGAGCAGAGAATTGAGATGACTCTGGGTCTTTATCCCCTTGTTTTGTTCAGTGAGATCTTGAGGCATCTTCCCTTTGCCTTGCTGTTCCTTTGGGCTAGGTTATCTTTGGAGCCTCGATATCTTTGCCTCCAGCCCCAATCTTTGTGTCTGCATGTTTCTTTCACTGAAAGGGATTTCTTCCAAATTTGCCTTCCTATATTTGGGGGGCAGATGTCTTTGTTTCTCTTGGGGCTCTCCCTCTGGGTTTACCCCAGCGCAACAGTGAGGCCCTTGAGGTTTGGACAGGGGGAGCAGGGCTTCCTTCTTGCCCCGAGAGCCAACTGCGAACCCAAGGATGGCCAGGCCGTGTCAGGGCCCGGGCACGCCGGGGTCACTTCTCATTCTGGGCACAGGCGCCTGGTCGATGCCCTGCTGTTCGTTCCCCCTTCCAAACGGCCCTCCTCTTGGCCCCCGCCCCCTGCGCCCGCCTGGAAAAGGCAAATTTGACATTTTTAAATCCCGAGCCTTAGAGGGATCGATGCGGCCTGAGGGCCCCGCCCGGGGTCGATATTCCTGATTGGGAAGCGGCCGCTGCGCAGAGCCCGCGTGTAAATCACCCGGGCTGGGGGAGGGAGCTCGGGGAGCCTACCGCGTCCCAGGCGCTCGGAGCTAGGTGCGGTCGGGGCCCGACTGGGACCCGAGGGTGACGGAATGAGAACCACAGCTTTAAAGAACCAGAGGGACGCTTGCCCAGGGCCTCTCCCCTCCCCCGCATAGCCCTGCCAACTCCCCTGGCCGGCACCGGTCTCGCTTCAGCGGCCGCCACCCTTCATTGCCCCTGGAGCCGCCGGGGAGGCCGGTGTCGAAGCCAGCCATGCGGCGGCTCCTCTCCGGCCGCTCCCGCGGGGCCCGGGCTTCGGCGGCGGCTGTCACGGAGCCGACAGGCCGGGCGGACCAGGAAGGGGCGGGTGGCGGGGGAGAGGCGGTGGGGGAGGCTGGCTCAGCTTTGGTGCTCAGTAGGTGCGCAACAGATGTTTGAGGAATTGAGGGATCACAAGGTGGCCTGGAACACCAAGGGACACGGGCCCGGAGCGAAAAGGAATGGGTGCGGTAGGAGGCGACCCAGATCTAGTGAGGATGAAAGGCTGGCATACCAGCCAGGTTAAACAAGCGTTCTAGGACACCGGGGAGGTCTGGGTGCAAAGAGCTAGAGAAAATGGGGCTGTCAGGGAAGTTCGGACGACACCTAGAAACGCTTCCTTCTCCCCTGACCTCCAATCCTTGTCTCCTTATGTGGGGAAATCGAGGCAGCCAAGGCCGAGAAGGTCCAGGAAGGGGAAAGCGGGACTACTGGCGAGGCTAGAGTAGTAATCAGAATTCCCTCATGGGTCTCTAATCACCCGGCCAACCCAGATCCAGTTGCTGGTAAATACACCACCACGCCCCCCACCTCCACTCAGACCCTCGCCTCCCGCTTCAGCTTGTCAGATCCCCCCACCTCCCACCCCGCGCCAGTTTATAGAACAACAATTTGGGGAAAACAATCCGGGCCGAGTGACGGCCCCTTAATTGTGACAAAGTGAGTGCGGGCGGCTGGAGAGAGCGCTAGGGCGGGAGCGCGGTGGGGCGAGGCGCAGGCAGAAGCGCCTCTCACGCGCCCCGCCACCCCCTCGTTCTCATTCTGGTCACCTCCCATCCCTCTCCTTGACTCTTCTCCAATTCCTCTTCTCTCAGCCCCTCACACCTCCCTTCACTTGTTCCTCCATCGCTCTTCCCTTTCCTTTAGGTAACAGATCTTCTCCCGCTTCCCATCCCCCGCCGCCCCTCCCCCGGTGCGCTGTTTCCTGGCTCACTTCAACCTCTTTCCTCCGCCCTCTACTCTTTTCTCCATCTTTTCCTCGCTCTCATATTGCCCTTGGGTCCCAGTCTCTCCCAGCACAATCCGCTTCTCTCCCTCCCCTGTCCTCACTTCCTGAGATGAACCCCGAGTTCCCCCTACCCCAACCCCGAGAGGCCAGCGCAGCCCTACACTCCTGGGTTCCTCAAGCAGCAGAGTTAGCTGCTCCCTGCGCCCAGGGAGCCTGGGCGGCCATCCCCTTCCTTCCCCCTTCCGCAGCTATGGTCCCCACCCCTCTTCCTGCGCCGCGAGCTAGTTTGTTTGTCCAGCGGCTGCCGCCGCCGCCCGCGCTGTTTGCCAAGATTAGCGCGCCGCGGCGCAGTGCGGGCCCAATTAAGTCTCATTCATTATTCAGCGTCCAGTCCTCCCCCGCCCCCAGCGCGCGTCTGGGGCTTCACTTCTCTGTCCCTCCCAGTCGAGGCCCCTCAAAGAGCCCTGAGGGACCATATAGTGTCTCCCCGGGTAAAGGTTATAAGGACTAGGGGCGGGGGGAGGCAGGTGGGAGGGAACACAGCACTTTGCCTGCAGCTGGGAAGCGACCCGAGTGAGGCTTACGGGGCTCCGCCCCTCCGTCGAGTCAAAACTGGGAGATCTTAGAGATTCAAGCTCCCCCAGTTTCTTTTTCTTTCTTTCTTTCCTTCCTTCCTTCCTTTCTTTTCTTTTCTTTTCGTTTCTTTTTTCTTTTTAACAGAGGAAGAAATTGAGGCCCTAGAAGGGTCATGATTTGTCAAGGGCACGGTTTCCTAACGCAGAAATGGAGCCCGGGTCACTGAAAGGAAGTCATTTCAGCTCCATTTCGGAGCAGAGGTGGAAGGAAGACGGATTACTTTTCCCCCGAGTCCTGGGCTGTGGCTTTGCTGACTTGCTGGGGCGTTTCTAACCCTCTATTTTTGTCCTGATTCTCCCTCACCCATATATAACTGGCGGGACAGAGCAACCTCGGGGCTCCCAGTGGATCCAGAGGCTTTTCGGATTCAGGCCCAGGCTCAGGCCTTTACGTATAACCCCCTATCTGGAAGGCCTGAAGGCAAGGCACTGAGAGAAATTTTTGTCCTTCCAACCTGTCGGTGGTTGTCTCTTGCCTTAGAGGAACTGGAGGTGGAACCATCCAAGGCAGTCTTGAAAGGCAGCAGAGTGTGATTAGAGAAGTGTGCAGCTTGAGGTGAGGAAAGGGTCACTTTCCACTGTGAGGATAAGAAGATGCAATCAAAAGCCTGTTTTTTAGCAGTACAGATGGAATCTCCTCCTTGCTCCAGAGCTCTGAGCTGCCTGCTGCACCCCAGCCTCGCGACAAGGTGAGTCTGGAATCCTCCTGGCCCGCCCTTCCGTGAGCGGCACCGCCACCTGGCGGTCATAGCGTGGTGCTGCAAGAAGCGCGCTCCAGCTGAGATGGGGCGTGGGGCCAGCCCCTAGAAGGCGGGGTGAGCCTGGAAAACTGAGTGTAAGCGAGAGGGTGGAAGATAGGAGTGTAGGGCGGGCAGGTGATTTCGAGGGGGCTGGGACGGCCTTAGGGAGGGGCCTAATCCCAGACCTCCGACTTCCGTGACATAGATGTCAGAGACAAAGTCCACTTGGATGGAAGTGGGAGCAGAATGAGAGGGGCCATTTTGATTCTGTGGTTGAAGAAAATAGCTGATCTGACGCTGTCTGGGAGCCGGTTCGGCCAGGTACTGCCGCCCCACCTGGGTCTAGCGGTGCTGGCTGGGGGTGACAGACTGGCAGGTATCTTTGGCATTTGGTTTGATATTCTGAAAATTTGCCTGGTGGCTTTGGACATGTCTGCCTTGGAAGGAGGTAGTTGAGTTGTGAGGTGCTAAGGTATAAATCAAAATGTTTCTCTGAATGTTTAAGTGGAGGGAATTCAGGACCCCGTTTGTGGGAAATTTTTATGTCCTGGAGAGATGGGAAGGCTGGAGAGGAGCTGAAACCTGGGCCAAGTGACTAAGAGCATAGTGGAAGTTGGGGCTGGGAATGGGGACAGGGAGAAGGTTAGGCAGGGGCTTTACAAATGTGTGGCAATTTTGGAAAGACATCCTGTTCAGCCCTTTCTATCCATACTACTCTGCTGTGAGTCATTCTCCAGGTCTGAAATTTAAGCTTCTGCTTTTTCATTCCTGCCCTGAGTTCTCAGTTTCTCAACCGAAAGCATTTAAAACATTTTTTCCCTTGAATTTGTAGTTGTCATGGTTATAAAGAATAGGACTGAGGTATTGAACAAAGGGTTTGGGACAACTAGCATTTCAGGGATACTAAGGCAGATCTGGACTCAACTTTTACTGAAAAGAGAAATGGGACCTGGATATAGTCTTATGATTCTTTTTTCCATCTCTTAGGGTCTAAGGATAATTCTGAGGCTATGATGGGCATGATTCCCATAGAAGACCTGAGATTTCTGCACTCTGAGCAATATCAAATGCCACTGGATTTGTTCTTGCCCTAGAGGATGGCGAAAGGGCTCCTTGTGACCTATGTCCTTTGGGCTGTAGGGGGCCCTGCTGGGCTTCACCACCTATACTTGGGAAGGGACAGTCATGCCCTGCTCTGGATGCTTACCCTGGGGGGAGGTGGGCTGGGCTGGCTCTGGGAATTCTGGAATCTCCCAAACTTTGTAGCTCAAGCCAACAGAGCCCAGGGACAGAAACAGAGCTCAAGAGAGGGGATACCCCCACTGAATCCCATTCGCTTTTTTGCCCAGATGATAGTGGGCATATATTTTGGCCTTGTGGCTCTGATTAGCTTTTCTTCCATGGCCAACTTCTACATTGTGGGCCTCCCACTGGCAGTTGGCTTAGGTGTCTTGCTGGTGGCTACTGTTGGCAACCAAACCTCAGACTTTAAGAACACTCTAGGAGCAGCATTTCTTACTTCCCCTATATTCTATGGCCGCCCCATAGCCATCCTGCCCATCAGCTTGGCTGCCAGCATCACAGCCCAGAAACATCGCCGCTACAAACCTTCAGTGGAGTCAGAGACACTCAGTGTGCGGCTCTACAGGCTCGGTTTGGCTTACCTTGCTTTCACAGGCCCGCTGGCATACAGTACCCTGTGGAACACAGCTGCCACTCTCAGTTATGTGGCAGAAACACTTGGCTCCTTCTTAAATTGGTTCAGCTTTTTCCCCCTTCTTGGCCGCCTTATGGAGTCTGTCCTCCTTCTGCCTTACCAAATCTGGTGGCTATTAGTTGGGGATCCAGGTATCAACAACCGCTACTTCCAGGAGTGGGAGAAGTTCTATGAGTTTGTTCACAGTTTTCAGGATGAGAAGCGCCAGCTGGCTTACCAGGTAAGGCTTTCTTCCCTCTCATTCCAACCTGGGTGGCTCTGGGAGTTAGAATAAGCCTTGTTGGAGCTGGTGCCCTCCACATGGAAGTACTGTTCTTATCTCAGATGGCCAGGTCCAGGAAAGGTGTCCTAGCTTCTTTGGAACACTGTACATTGGGCAAAGGTACAGGACACTAGTAGTGAGTGAAAGAAATTTATGTGTATATATTTACTTTTTATTGAGGTATAACATAATTGAAATACACTATTTTTATGTATAGGCTGCTCAGATCAAGGCATGGAACATTTACAGCACTAAGAAACTTTTTTCATTCCCCTTCCCAATCTATACTCCCACTTCAAAGGTAACTTTTATTCTGACTCCATAACCAAAGTAGGTTTACTTTCTTTTTTTCTTTTTTGTTCATTGGTTTGTTTATGTGCTGCTAGGGCTCAAAAACAGGGCTTTGCAAAAGCTAGGAAAGTATTTTATCACTGAGATACACCCACAGTCCTATCACTACACATCCGTTTTACCCATGTCCCCCTTTTGTTTTGATAGTACTGGAGATTGAACCCAGGGCCTTGTGCAAGTTTTGCCCATTCTTGAACATCAAATAAATGGAATCATCCAATCTATATTCTTTTTGTTTGTTTGTTTTTGGAGTATTGGGGATTAAACCCATGGAACCACATACCCAGCCCTTTTTATTTATTTTGTGGTACTGGGGATTGAGCCCAGGGGCACTGAGTACACCACAGTTTATTTATTCTATTGTTAATATTTGGGTTGTTTCTAGTTGAGACTATCATGAATAAAGCTCCTACAGACATTCTTTTTTTTTTAATATTTATTTTTTTAGGTGTAGAGGGACACACACAATGCCTTTATTTTTATGTGGCGCCGGATCCTGCCCATGCTACGCAAGCGGCTCTACCGCTGAGCCACAATCCCAACCTCTAGACATTCTTATACATGTCTTTTTCCCCTCTTCTTGTTGGGAAGAGATCCTGTCAGGGATGTGAAATTCTAGGTTGGAAAATGCAGCTGTGGTTAAAGGCAAATCCTGGCTCTGCAAGATACATAGCTTATTCCATGTTTCTGAGTTAAACCTCCAACCCAAAAACTTGAATTCTAATCTGAGGTGAACTGTTCCAGAGGTACTAATAGCCTGATTTAGCAAAGGAGCAGCAAGAGACCCATGTACAAATTGTGAGATTCTAATTTGTCAGCTTCTGTTTCCCTAAGGTTTTGGGCCTCTCAGATGGGGCAACAAATGAAGAAATACATCGTAGTTACCGGGAGCTAGTGAAGGTCTGGCATCCCGACCACAACCAGCACCAAAGAGAGGAGGCCCAAAGGCATTTCCTGGAAATCCAGGCTGCATATGAATTTCTGACTCAGCCCAAGAAGCCCAGAGGATCCCAGAGGTGAAAATCAACTTTCTTGGAGAATGGAGTCTTCACAGCAGAGCGGGGCAGCTTATCCTAAGTCTTCTTTTGCCCATCTGAGGTATCCCAACAGTGTTAAAAAAAAAAAAAAAGAAAACTGTCTACTTGCAGTGAAGATGTGGAAATCTTATAGGGTTGAGAACAATTGTGGTAGAAAATACATTTATGATCTGCATTCTTGGTTATTGTATTTATTTATGGTACTGGGAATTTAACCCAGGGGCACTTTACCCTGAGCTACATTCCCAGTCTTTTTTATTTTTTTTATTTTTATTTTTTCAGTGAGAGAGAGAGAGAGAGAGAGAGAGAGAATTTTTTAATATTTATTTTTTAGTTTTCTGCAGACATAACATCTTTGTTTGTATGTGGTGCTGAGGATGGAACTCGGGCTGCACACATGCCAGGCGAGTGCGCTACTGCTTGAGCCACATCCCCAGCCCCTTTATTTTTTATCTTGAGACAGGGTCTCACAAAGATCCTGAGGTTCACACTAAGTTGCTGAGGCTGGCCTAAAACTTTCAATCCTCCTGGCTCAGCCTCACAGATAGATCACTGGTATTATAGGCCTGGGCCACAATGCACAGCTGCTATGGTATTCTTGACTACATTTGCTTAAAACCAAAGAGTGAAAGGCATATTATAAAGACAATAAAATACCTTCCAAAGGATCAACCACCTTATCCCACACCTGGTACATTGATGTATAGTGGAGAAAAATCATTTGACTTTTAAAAAATGTGTAAAAGCACTGGGCTAGAAGATTGAAGGAAGGGCTAGGGTTGTAGCTCAGTGGTAGAGTGCTTGCCTAGCATGTGTGAGGCACTGGGTTCAATTCACAGCACTATATATAAGTAAAGAAAATAATGGTCCATCAACAACTAATAAAAATTTTTTTAAAAAGAAGGTTGAAGGAAAAATATGAGAGTTCTAATATTTCATAAGCTGTCCTGTGACAATAGGGATTTGATCTATCTGTAGATTACCAGGGAGTAAGACTGAGATTAAATTTCAAAATCTGAAAAAAAAAATTTCATTTACAGAAAACTTTCTACAACTATACTTTTCCCAAAAGGAACAAGCTGCTGCAGAAGGGAAACAGTTCCTCTGCTTAGAAAAATATTGTAGAGATCCCTCAAACTTTACCTGAATGGTTGGACTAGCTGAGTTCTTAGGTCTTCTCAACTCTTGAGGTCTGATTTTGAGGTACACACTCTGTTCCCAGGACTTTACAATCTGATGGGGTATTATGATTTAGATAGATGGTATCCCCTGAAAGGTCATGTTAAGTAATGCAGAAAAATTTGGAGGTGAAATGATTAGATCATGAGAGCTGTAATTTAATCAGTGGATTAATCCATTTGATAGATTAATAATTTGAATGGAAGCCAGGCATGGTGATGTATGCCTGTAATCTCAGCGATTTAGGAAGATGAGGCAGGAGAGTTGCAAGTTAGTGGCCATTCTCAGCAACTTGGAGACCTTAGGCAACTTGTTGAGACCCTGTCACAAAATAAAAAGGCTGGGAATGTGGTTCAGTGGTAAAGCACCCCTCAGTTCAATCCCCAGTACCAAAAAAATTTGGCTTCCAAAGCCTATTGATAACTTGCTCTTTTTTGTGTATGTGGTACCCCAGACTGAACCCAGAGGGCGCTTAACCACTGAGCTATATCCCCAACACTCCCAGTGGCGACCCCCATACCCCCATCCCTCCCCCCCCCCCTCCCACACCGCTTTTTTTTTTTTTTTTTTAATTTAGAGACAGGGACTCTCTAAATTGCTTAGGGCTTTGCTAAATTGCTGAGGTTAGCTTTGAACTCACAATCCTCCTGTCTCAGCTTCCCAAGCCTCTGGTATTGCAAGCACACACAGTGCCCTGCTTAAAAAATTTTTTTTGGAATGGATAACTGGGTGGTAACTGTAGGTACAGTGTGGGTGGAGGAAGTAGGTCACTGGGGGCATATCAGTTGGGATTATATCTTGTCCCTGGCTCCTGCCTGGGCACTTTCTCTGTCTCTCGCTAGGTCTCTCTCTCTCTCCCCACTTCCCAGTTACCATGAGTTGAGAGCTTTCTTTCACCATGCCCTTCTGCCATGATGTTCTGTCTCACTTAGACCCAGAACAATGGAGTCTGCCAACCATGGTCTGAACCTCTGAGACAGTGAGTACAAAAAGACTTTTCCTCTTCTAGGTTGTTCTTTTTTGGGGGAAGTGTTAGTCTTTAAAAAAATATATTTATTTATTTATTTTTATGTGATGCTAAGGATTGAAGCCAGTGCCTCACACATGCTAGGCAAGCACTCTGCCACTGAGCTATAGCCCCAGCCCATCTAGATTATTCTTGTCAGGTTTTTTGATCACAGCAATGAATCTTACTTACACATGGGGAATGATAATATAGGTACATAAATATTGAAGTCTAGGTGTTGTAGGGACAAATGAGGCAAGGCACCGAAGATAGCAGGAAATAGTTTTATTTGGCTGCAGCCAGGTTCAGAGGGCACAGCTTTTGCTGTAATCAATTAATCCCCTGAACCCCAAGTTTAGGTAGTTTCAGAGTTTTATACCCAGCGTGTAAGGAGAGGTGCTCAGAAGTTCAGTCTGCAGAAGGTTCACATAAAAACAGCTTTTTCTTTCACTGTTCTGGGCAAGTCAACTCTTCAAGGACAACACCTGAGAAGGGGAGAGCTTCTCCCCTTTCTTTCCTCCCCCTGTCAGCTGTTACCATGGACCCCGATTGTAACTTATCTTAAAATTGTAGACATCTCTGTGAAGCCCAGCTCAAGGCCAGAGGACTTGTTTGCACATTTCTACAAAGTACTATACTGGATATGTTTGTGAAAAACAGTAAGGGGTGTCCAGCACCTAGAGTGCTGGTATCTTTTCAGCCAGTGGCCAGGTAAACAGGGCGACACGAAAATAGAAAGTTTATCTACATTGGACTCTTTTACAGAGACTCTTTTGCTGACAGTCCTAAAATCAGCCATGGTGAAAAGGGCCTTTCTGTGGAGAAAGGGGATGCCACTTCATAGGGGCTGGGGCTGTAGCTCAGTGATAAAGTGCTTGCCTTGCACTGCAAGGCACTGGGTTTGATCCTCAGCACCATATAAAAATAAATTAAGATATTGTATCCATCTACAACTAAAAAATATTGAAGTCTACCTTGTTCGGTATTTTGAATCAAGTATTATAAGACCTATAAATGAGAGGCTGGGGTTGTAGTTCAGTGTAGAGCACTTGCCTAGCATGTGTGAGGCACTGGGTTTAATCCTCAGTACCACATAAAAATAAAAGTATTGTGTCTGTTCACAACTAAAAATAAACAAACAAACAAACCATAAATGATGTATTGCAATACTGGAAAAGGAACAGATGATCTTGTTTTGTTTTGTGGGAACTTATGAAAACATTAATGATTTTATATCTCATTTGTCTTTGTGGGGACATTGGGGGAATTAGCAGCTTAAATATCTCAAAAGGAATTTATTTCATTCTATGTAACTGGCCAGAAGTAGAAGAAAGTCCACAATGTCTTAGTTTGCAGAAGAAGACTGGGGATCAGGGACATGTTAAAATTATGTACCTTTACTTCAGTCTTCTTGATCTTTTTTTGTGCATATGCATCCTTCACACTTTTTTTTCTTTTTTGGTACCTGGGATTGAACCTGGAGGCGCTTAACCACTGAGCCACATCACCAGTCCTGTTTACTTTTTATTTTGAGATAGTGTCTCCCTGAGTTGCTGAGGCTGGCTTTAAACTTGTGATCTTTCTCCTTCTTCTGCCTCCTCAGCTGCTGGGATTATAGGCATGCACCACAACACCCGGCTTCATACTTTTTTCCTGGATATTAACTCTGGGTTATTTATTTTTTTAACTAGGGGTGTCTCTCAGTGGTAGAGTGTGTGCTTAGCATGTTCAAGGCCCTGGGTTTGAGCCCCATTACTGGGGGAAAAAAAGTAGGATTATGTCCTTGAAGGAGCCCAGGGAAATTCATCCCAATATATGGCACCCTGGAATGCTGATTATTTTAAATTAAAAGCCCTTGAAAAACAGCAAATGCTGGAAGATACTTTACTTGTGATGCTTATTAATCTGCCCAAAGATTGCCCCACCAAAGAAGAAAAGAGTTAATTATCTTTGGTCCCTTCCCTGAGTTTTCATTAAATAAACTTATATTTGAAGGAAGAGGATAAAATAATATAACCACACCCAGATAGATTTTTGTCACAAGTTATTGTCAGTCTCCTAGGCCCATTAGATTCCCAAAGAGATAAAAAAATTGAAAATTAATTAATTAATTTAAAAAAAAAGATTCCCAAAGAGAGCCATTTACTAACTATTGTCTGAACTTTGGGCCCAGTTATTCACCTAAAATCATTTGCTATTCCTCAAATTGTCATCTTTCCCCTCCCTTATGAAGAAGGGCACATAAGCATCTGGACCTCACTGGGTTATTTGAGTAATAATGCTCTTGTGATTCTCCACTGTGCATATTAATAACTTATATAACTTTTCTCCTATTAATTTACTTATCATCAGTTTATTCCAGTGAACCTTCTGAACCTTCACCCCTCTATTAGCTAGTATTCTCTACAGATTAATAGGAAAAAAAATTGTTACTGGGCTTGATGGTGTGTGCCTGTAGTACCAACATTTGGGAGGCTGAGAGAGGAGGATGGTGTGAGCCCAGACGTTGTAATGCTGGAGCCAGGAACTTTTGGTCCTGTGACAGTACTAATGAAACCAAGCCAAAGAGTACAAACACAGGCAAAGCTTTAATGGAAGAGTGTTGCCCCCAAGGTGATACAGCACTGATAGATCAGGCTGCTCCCTGAACAAAAGACAAGACTAGGCTTTTATTCTGGTTGCTGGGGTGGTGGGCTACTATCTGGCAACTTTTTACTGGTTGTGAGTGTGGTATTTTTATTTTCCAAGAAATTTCTTCCTTGTGAAAGATAGTTTACTCTTGGAGAGGTTATGGTGCC